AGAGACGCTTCACTCAGGTTTGCTCTGATGGTTGGAATATTTTTCTGCTTTTTAGTCACTTTCTGTGCAGCCAGAGCTCATTATGACCAACCTTTTGACTGCTCTGTCTCCTAACATATTATTTATTTATTTATTTATTTATTTATTTATTTTGGAAAGGGGGGAAATAAAGTTTTTTGCCTGAGTGTAAAGTTTAAAAATTCTGCTTTATGATGTGCACATTCTCTTCCCTTTTCCGTTTGAACATTTTCTTGATCTGTATTTTTTTACGAGGCAAAGCTCCACAGCGCCTCCTCACTCAGTGAACGGTGTAGTGCTGGAAGCCAAAAAAATAAAAAATAAAATAAAACATCTAACAATAAGTTGTCACAGTGTCACAGAGATTGAAAAGAAAAAAAAGAGCGAGCCAATTAAAACCTGCAGAGCTTCCAGTGCCACGTGTTTCCCTGAATGTCCTTTCAACTTSTCTACACTCGTCACTCGGAGGAGCATACTGACAAAACTAAAGTCTCACYAACGGCTTTTACTGTGCGTTTCACATACACTCACACGTTCTTGTTACGGCTTCATGCTGCGTGGAGAAGTASGTGCAGTTTGTGGTGCACAGGCTGAACACCAGAGAGATTTATGTAACAAGTGTGGGTTTACTTTGTTATTTTACAGTGATGCTTCAAAATACCTTTAAGGAAATGTTGAACCCTGTATCGTTCCAAAATAAGTATTCTTAGTTGGTCTAAACCTTTGCATGCAAGTGCCTAAAGTATGACTGTTTTTTTTTCTTTTTTTTTTCCCCACTCATGGATACTGAGTTATGGTAGAAAGTTGACAAGACACAAACTGAATCACAAATTTTAACCGGACTGCTAATTTTCTCTAGTTTTCTGCAGGTTCATTTATTGCAGCCTGATCTTAAAATAGATTAAATTGTGTTTTTTTTCTCCTTTTCAATAATCTACATTTATTGCCCCATATTGGCAAAGTACAAAGTTTTTTTAAATTTTATGGGTAAGTTTATTAGAAATATTCAATGCAATCGTGAGCAGTCTCATCTTTTATTGGGTTTAAATGGTTTAAATATTCAGTTTTCCACTGGCTGCAGAATAAATATGAGAACACAACTCACCCCTAATCAGTTGATCATCACAACAAAGACTAAAAACTCTTGGTAAAGTTTTATTGATTTTTATTTTATTTTTGTTGTGATTTCATTCTGAAGCTGCTTAAAGGTAAACATGAGCCCCACAGAATCCAGCTGTTTTATCTCTGACTCCTACCAGCTCTGCCCTGCAACGAGCTACTAAACCATCACAAGCTTTCAGAAATAATCGTTCATGGCTGACCCGGCACACAAAGCTCCTGGCAGCAGCAGTTGGGACTGAAGTCGAATTTGCATGAGAATGATGAAGGCCTGCTTGTGCCTTTTTATATAGTATTTTCTGCTGAATTGATGGAGTTCTGATTTTTGGCCAACATTTGTTTTCTTACCTCTGAAAGTCTGGGGAAACATAGCTGCATTACTGCATTTGTTTTAGTTAAAAAAAATTTAATTGTAAGAATTACACAGACATTTGGCGTTTAGACTCAAAATGATTGGAAACATGTTCAAGAAAGTTTAGTCAATTTCTCAGTTAGGTTTAAATATTACAGTTTGATTTTCCCATTTTGTCACCGTCCAGCAGTAAACCCAGGGTTTTTGTTTGTTTGTTTGTTTTTGTTTGTTTGTTTGTTTGTTAGAACTAAATACTTTTTTGTGAATTAATATCTACTGAAATTTTTCCCATCTTGTTTGACCACAATTATTGCATGTGATCTGTTGCATCAGAAGCATGTTTTTTATACAATATATTTATTTATTTATTTATTTTATTTTGTTTTATTTTATTTTATTTTATTTTATTGCTGTAATCAATGGGTCAGAACTTTAAAACATAAGAGCTGCTGGAAACGTCTAATCAAAAACTGTTTCCACGAAGAAGAGTTTTGCATTGATGAGGACTTGTGTTATTTTTTCACAAGTTTATGCAATTTACAGAGGTTTGAAAAATAATACGGCAGATTTATTTTATTTTTTAAACAGTGAGAGACTAATTTGAAAACCTTTATTTTTATAACAACTCATTATTCCACGCTTATGCTTGCTGATTGTACAGATTCTAGTTTTAATATGAACTTGAACACGAATTAATTCATCCTAAAGCATGTTTAATAAGATAAAAATGCAATAATTACCAAGTGGTGTGAAAAATGCTTGACTGCCAGTTGTTTTTTTTTTTTTTTATTATCTACATTTTCCTCATCTCCAGTTCGGCTGCAGCGATTGATCCTAAGCTGCTGAACTCAACAGCAAATAGTTGTTTTTCCATTATTAACCGGATTTATTTACCCTTTTAATTTATTTCTCTGCATTGTTGTCTCGAGGTTTTAGAGGCAAACACTAAAKTTTCTGCACAGTTTAACAGTGGTTTTGGGGAAATAAAAATAGGCAGTAAGACAATAAAAAAGCATTGATTAGTTTGAGATTTTAAAAAAGAAATGGAATAACAGAGCATTATTAGGTGTTTGATTTGGTTTGCAAGATATGTTGCTAAACCTACAAACATATGCACACAGGAAAAACTTTATTGCTCTTTTTTTTCTTTCTTTTTAGCAGCAGATGATAATTCATTTCTACACTGCAGGACTTGGTTGCAGTCTCAAACTCAGCGACAGTTTTGAGTGAGTTGGAGTGGGTGGAGCGTGTACGGCATCATTTCTTTTAATTACATCATAAAAGAGAAATCCCTGAACCCTCGAGGTCTTCATGACGCAGGGTTTCACTCTCATACGTACCAAAGGCATCATTCGTGCTGACACCACATCGCCCCACAAACTCTCATTGAATCTTCCCTCTGTGGTTTTTTTCAGTTCATAAAATCAGCGTCGGGTCTCAGCCGCCACGCCGAGGGCAGGGAGCTCTGGTGCATTAGCATCATCCTATGCTCCTCGCTCGCAGCCATACATAAAACATGACCATGTAAGCCACATCTATCTGCGCCTCCGTCAGCAGACGTCCCCTGATGAGACAGATTCCATAAGGACACGGTAGTGGTGTCTGGGAGACATACGGCTTGGTGTTTAGTCGGTTTATTCCCCCCGTCAGAAGAAATCAGGCTCCTGATGATTTTACTTTACTCTGAAAACTGCTTTTTCAAAGAGCTGCGAGGAGCTGGGGGCACGGAGCGCTTTAAAAATGACGTCGAAATGTGCTGAGGCTGGAATTATGCATATAAACTTCTTTCTTTATTTTTTTTTTAGTGGAAGGGAGGAATAACATTAAAACATTTGAGGTATTTCATTAAGTAGAGTTTAAGGGATGTTTTATTCCGTCTTCCAAACCTCAGTTTCACATTTGAGGGTTTGTTGACACGGCTGATTTAATGGAAATTGGTAAGCAAAAGGGAAACGCAGAGATAAAAATGGTCTGCGAGGAAGAGACTCGGGTCAGCAAACTCGCACTGGTTACAGTGACTCGGAGGTGTTTATGTTGGGATTTTGAAAGCAGCGAAATGATGAAGGAGATTTGAATAACCACACGGCGGAGGGAGGAGGGACACTCATGGATAATTTTGGCTGTGCGCCATGTTTAACTGGCAGAATCTTCTTTGGAGCTGACCTGCTCCTGAGCGTGCACTTTGAGCTTTGTGTTTTTGAGAAGAAAAATCACGTTTGTCTGTTTGTGTTGGGTTCCAGATTCTGATCGGGGAAGTGACGAGTTTCTTTGTGAAGACGGAGGGAGCTCAGGAGAAGACCATAGTGACCGCCGACTGCTGTTACTTCAACCCTCTCCTCAGAAGGATTGTACGCTTTCTGGGTCAGTCGTGCTCCTCTGGATAAGGGATTATTGTGCCTTGACCATTGACTTTAATATAAAGATCACTAGACTAAGCCCCGCCCATCCCGTCCACTGGTAGCATCTGTGACAGCTCACAGCCTCCATAGAAACTAATAGATAAACAACAAGCTGAACTGGATCTGTTTCATGATTATCTGTCATGTTTTTACAATAAATTAATACTTATGTTAATTTCATTCAACAATCATGTAAAACAGCAGATTTATTCCAGAAAAATATACAAATTATAAGTAACAATGATCTAATCCAGACCTGAAGTCAGCCTGTAACTTAGACTTTAGCTAGTTGAAAAATGATGACTTCAGCTAGTAATAAAGTATATTTATTATTTCTTCTCATTGTCAAAAAATAAGAATATTTATATTTACCAGTCAACAGTTAGAAAATGTTCTCTG